GTTAAAGCAGGTTCCTAAACCACATCTTCCCCAAAGGCTCCCTTACCATTTCTTAATAGAATCCCTGAAAGCTTCGACATTATACACTTGTGGAGTAGGAAAGAAAAAAAGACTTCAGTTCTCCTCTACATGAGCAGAAATTATAAAAACAGGCACAGCAGACACTCTTGTCTCCCCCGCTGCTCCCCTCAGCAGTATATTTCGGTAGATCCACCTGTTCTGTTCCCCACTCTGGTGTGTCTGTTGAATCCTCTCACCCCCAGCTCCTCTGGCCTACAACCGCATCTTATATGCATACCTAAATTTTAAAAAATAAGAAATAAATATTAAAGAAATTATAAAAACAATGAAATCTCAGGAACATGAGTCAGAAGTCTTGTGTCAATAAGCACAGTCTATAACTTTGGATGGATAGTTAATTATCTGCTACTGTAATTGTTAGCAATGCCAGTATCTATATGGGGTTAAAATGGTCTCATAACAAATGGAGGCAGAACATGTTTCCAATATCATTATTGAATCAGCAGATGCTCAAGTAAAATTATTCATCTTGATGGAGCCCATAAATGAGTCTACAGACTTCGCAAGAGCCACTAGAACATTATGTACAGAGGATTACCAAAGAAAAAATTCCCAGGAGAAAAAGATTAAGGTGTGTCAACATCTGAGAATAGAAGGACTTATTCAACATGGACTGTTCACTTCTTCTATCAAACTAAGCACTACACATCTTGCCGTGCACGCGTGTGAGTTTGCACTCATGCATACACCCAGCACTACCAAGTGTCCACAGACATAAATTACATAGTGTGAACTGTAGATACCTAACAGATTGGATTGATTCTACTGCATCTATGTGTCAAAATTAAAAGCAGAATTTCATGTGGGAAGAAAAAAAGGCACGTAAAAGATTAATTTTAACAGACTTATTTAACACAGTTGTTCTTAATACTTTGGAAGTGGAAGAGTCACCGGGTACCTGTGAAATGCAGATTCCCAGGCTCTAAATGAAGAAATCTGGAATAGACTCAAAATACATGCATTTTTAACAAACACTCCAAGAGACTTTCATGCAAGCACTAGGGATTCTGATGTGGGCATGTTCTGATTTGGCAGAAATTCTGATTTCAAACATAGACTCCAACGTATCATTAAAGTTGATCCTCAAATGACATGTGAATAATTTAAGGAAGGGGAAAGAGATCTAAAGAGACTAAAAGTTTCTGAAAATAGTCATATTCCCAAAGAATAAACGCTACTCTCTGGGCACATCTGTGCTTCTTAAGTAAAACACACAAAGTCAAAAATGTGCCTTTCTGTAAAATTTGACTCAAAAGTGTCTTTGGGCAAAGGCTTAGTGACTCTCAGTCATTCTGAAATTCTATTATCCACTTTGGGGAAAAGGAGAGCAATTGCTCACTGTCCCCTGTGATAGAGGATCTTATTTTATTAAAATCCTAAAATGGTTAGAAGAAAACTGGCTGGGAATTTGCAGTGATAGTGAATCTGATACTATGTTAATTCACAAGCCCTGAAGCCTTTAGCAATACAACACAAGGACAGAGAGTACTTCAGGGACAAGAGTGTTCTTTGTGGGATTCAAGACTTTCCAACACCTGAAAACCATAATCACCACAGATTTTTTTCCAATTCTATGTTGCCTTTAAGAATCAGACATCCTAAAAATAGATCCATGAGACTTTGCTTGAGTGTGAAGGAGTATTTTTGTGTCTACACTTACAAAAGCCCAAGCTGAGTAAGAGGACAGTCTTAGAAGCTTTTCAATAGAAATGAAAAGGGAAGCACAAATATCTCGTAGGCAAGAAGAAGTTTTTTTAAAGAGAAGGAAAAAAACTCAAAATCCAGAAAGACGGAGACAGTGGAGATTCTTTAGAAAGTAGCCTCAAACCATCTTGATTGGCATTTGTCCAAACATGGATCTCTTTCTTTAATTTTCCCGCTTCTTCATTCTGTCTCTATCTTTATCTTGTGCTTTCTTCTCTATCATAGTTAACTAGGAGTGGACTTGAGATCAGAATTGATTGCTATTACTGTCATTATCTAAAAAAATTCACATGGTGAAGCCCTACACCCCAGAACCTCAGACTGTGATTGCATTTAGAGACAGAGTCTTATGAGATTAAGTTAAAATGTGCCATTAGGGTGAACCCTAATTCAGTGTGACTGGTGTCCTTATAAGGGTAAATTTGGACACAAAGAGACACATCAGGAACATATAGACAGAGAGAAAAAATATTAGGGAGAAAGTGGCCACCCGGTAGGCAAGAAGAGAGACTTCACATGAAATGAAACCTGCCAATACATTGGTCTTGGACGTCTAGCCCCCAGAAGTATAAGAAAATTAATTCCTGTTGTCTAGATATCACCTAGAAAATTAACCTAATGACCTTGTCCCAGTGACCTTAACCCAGCTTGTTTTTGTTTTGCTTTGCTTTGCTCTTGGTCAGTCAAACAGACACAGTTGACTCCTCCTCAAAGAACTGTTGAAGTGAATTATACTTTCAAAAACCACAAAATAGGATTATATAAACTGCCCACTAAGATAGTTTATCATGAGCAGTATTTCCCTGTTTCTCTCCCTGTCTTGTGTTTAAGCTAGCTTTGGCATCACTATTGTCACTATGAATTGGAGGTTACCAGCTGCTACACTGGAAGTTGTGGATTTTTGAGACCCCGATTTGTTTTTGCTCCTTAGCTCAAGTCATTAACATTAAGTATGAGTAAGAGAAAGTGTTCTCCATCCTATTCCATTTTGTGTAACTCTGAAAATAGTATTACAGGCTGAAAAGAGAAAAAAAAATCATCTCAAAATTTATTCTTGATAGGTAGTTTAAAATGAGGAAAGAAAAGTTGAAGACACTGACACTTGGAAAATGAGTTGAGAGGAAAAAAGAGTAAGCAAAGAATTTTAATTAGAGTTCTATAACGTATTGTGGAAATAACAATAAAATGAAAAGTGTTCAAAATATGTTGAAATTGAAATGCGTTTGAATGCAATTTAAAGGGCTATAGAGGGCAATGTAGTTAAATACGGTATAAAAGAAAAACAAATTAAAAATGATTCTAAAAATATAAGCAGCCCTCCAGAGAATACTGAAACACTTGTTTAAAAAAAAAAAAAGCAGACCTTTTAAAAGTAGCAAATATGCAAAGTTAAATATTATATTTCTAATTCAAATGTCTTGATTCTCAGATATCTTAGTAAGTTTGAAAGAACATTAGAACTCAAAATAGATTATTTAACAGACATCTTCATTTTTGGAAAGTTTGAATTTTCTTTTTTTAAGTCTTAAAATTTAGTATGCATCAGAATGCCTGGATATCTGGTAACAATAAACTGATGGTTCCCACCCCCAGATTTCCTCATTTATGGGGTCTGCTATAAAGCTCAAGAGTTTGCATTTGCAACAAATTTCAAGGTGATGTGATGTAGCTAGTCTAAGGACACTTTGTGAGCCAATGGTATATGATAAAGATGTACTTCCAAACTGAACATATTCATTATCTGCACAAAATGCTGCAGAGTATTTGCATTTATCTCAAGTCTCTCCCATTAAAAACAAGTTTTAGAGACTGGAAAACTGATAGATAAAAGGCAGTTGGCCTAGAAGACCACATAAAGCTGAAAGCTAAGTGCTATTTGGAGACAGCAGTATCAACCAGGAGAATACAAATGCTCAAGAACAGCAGGCATTCGATAGCTTTAAGAAAAGGGTAACACTTAAGACTGAAAATAGGAAAATTGGCTCAAAATCTTTAAAAGGAGTAACTAAACTACAGATCTCCTGCAATACCCCAGCAGAAGACTGCATATTTACTATCTAAAAGATTAAACCATGAAGGACTTGGTATCAGAGGAACCTGGCAAACTTGGGAAGTGCTTTGTTAAAAAGCCGGGAATAACAAAGAAAAGTCTACACACTGGAAGGTATGATCACACAATCCCACTACCCTACTGTCACCCCTGGCCCCTTCTCTTGAGTCTCTCCCAAAATACTAACTGGCAAGCCTAAAACGGAAGACTTTCTCTCTGTTCAGACTAATCAGACCAAGGGAAAAAACCCATAGATACAATATTAAGAATTCTGAAATTAAATAGGATCTCTATCCAATTACCCTACATGGAAGACCACCAAATATGCCCCATGCACATACAAACAGGCTCCACTCAGTATTCACTCTTAAATATGATCACCCAAGGGTGATCAGACATTAGAAAAACTCACCTAACATATATTAAGTACCCAATCATAGTTTACCTCTACTTCCTAATAGTATCTCATGCAAAATAACACACTTTTTCTTATTGGCCCTACCCATATTTACCCTATTCAAGTACAAATCTTTTAATGTCTTTTTTAACACCCATTTACTAAGGTGAACCATGGTTCACCATGGTATATGTTCTCTTCTATATTGAATAGTAAACTAAACTTGCTCAATTTTTTTTTAAAAAAACTCACCTAACATGCAGACAGAGAATACAATAAACCAATGGGAAAAAGTACTTTGAGCCTCCAATTGCCTGGGTACAGCTCTGAGGTCAGCAAAGTTGACATCCTCTTGATCATCTCCTCCATCACCGCACTCACCATCTTTAAGCCTCTCTGAGCTTCATTGTCCCACTACTACCCATAGGGTAGTTTTGAGGGTTAAAGAGATAATGAATGCACTTAACACAGTACTTGGTTTGTGTTAAGTATTCTTTAGATAGATCCATAGAAGAAGTACCTCCAAGATTCATCAGTGATGCTGTTCTGGGATCCTAAGTGACAAATCCAAGGGATGGTCCAGACAAGTGCTTTAGGGAGAACTCATGCCATAGTAGCTGTATAAACCAGAAATGGGCTGGGAACACATTTATAGAGTGAGTAAAATATTCTGATTTTTCTTCAACCATCAAGACAGTTTTTGTTGTTGATTTTAATGTTAATAATGGGGTGCTGTTTTTTGGGTTTTTTTGCCTCGTTGCCTCCGAGAAAGCAAGACGGGTCACCAGCAGCTCTACTGGAGTCACCCAAGAAAATTTGGCCAGGGTTTTCGCTCTTGCCGAGTCTGCTCAAACCAACATGGCCTGATCCGGAAATATGGACTTAACATGTGCCACCAGTGTTTCCGTCAGTACGCCAAGGACATAGGCTTCATTAAGTTGGACTAAATGATCTTCCTTGAATTGGCTGTGGAGAAATCTACTGTAAAGCAGAAACTAACTCTTTGTACATAAAATAAAATACTTCCATTATGAAAAAAAAAATAATGGGGTGCTGTATTTCAGTATCAACACAGGCACACACACACACACACTCCTAAGACTTTGATACCCCAAGAGCAGTGATTGTCAAACTTGTGCGTGCATCAGTACTGCCACCGGGGCTTGTTGAAACCCAGATTGCCAAGATTCTTATCCCCTGAGCTTCTGAATCTGTGCGTCTTTGGAGGGAGGGGGCAGGAGAAGCACAGGTTTTACATCCTAACAGTTTCCAAGTGCTATTCCTGCTAATTCCAGGATCACAGTGGTAGAATTACTGCCCTAGAGAATGAGACACTTTTGAAATTATATGGCATTCTACAAAACAACCTATCAATGGTCACAGAAGATTACACTGGCCTTTAAGTAAGCATGAAGTATTTAATTTCTTTTACACAACTGGCAGAAATACAAGCAAATAGATAGCCCTTGTATCTGAAAACTGAATTTAACCCAGCATTTTTGTAAATTGCCATCCATAATACCCTTTTCCCCAAAATTTAGAGCCCCATCTTTGAAGAACCTGCAAGAGCTTTATCCATTTTATTAATACTGGCTGTTATGAAACATTACCATAAATCATGCTTCAGTTTTTGCAGAGTAGTTCAATAAAGTGGGGGTAATATAAGTTTGAGACAAACGCTTATTCTCATTGCCCAAGAGGATAAACAAAGGATAAATTACATTCAAGGAGTTCAACCTTAGCAGGAATTTTGAAGGCATTCAATATCTACCAAAGCTAATCAGCTGTAGCCTTCTGGGGGCAAATTGGCATTTCTATTTCTTTTTCAAGTTCTCTATGGAATGACTATAAAATTAGAAGTTTACAGGGTTTTTTTAAAAATATCTTAGAGTCTTATGCTTCTTCTATTTCACTCTATCAACACAAGAAAATTTTGATGAAGTATTGCCAGCATTTTTCATGAATCTTAAAATACCTTTAAACATACTAATTTAACAACTGTTTATTGAATACCATCTATTCAAAGATGATTTAGATATAAGGTAAATAAGACCCTATACTTGGGCTACTAAAAATACAGTGCATTCAGCATGCCAGTGTGTGCTTGTGTGTGTACTACCTGACCCACAGACAAGAGCCTATTTCCATATCTTTCTATAAGGATATTGTTTATCTGTTCTCTTGCTGTCAGCATCAGGCCTGGGAATACCCAGAGCTGCTGAATCCATCCAGTTTATTTGCCTCTGCTTTGCAGTACACGAAGGAGCCCTTACTACTGACTTTATGAAAACATTCCATTCCGGTATCTGCCCTCCAGCTCCCCACCCCAAACAAAATAGTTCTCACTAAGGCCAGTAATCACCTCTACATTACTAAATCCGATTTCCATTTTCATTCTCATCTTATTTGATATTTCCAAGGCAAATTAACACTGATACTACAATCTTCTCTAGGAATAATCTCTTCCTTTTCCTTTCGTGCCTCAAGCTCCTGTTTTTTCTCCTGGCAGATTCTTCTTGGGCTCCACGACACAGGTCGAGACTTTTCTCAGTTTAATTTCTCCTCTGTCTTTGTTCTCTCCCTAAAACTCCTTAAGTGTAGGGCCTCCCTGGTGGTGCAAGGGGTTAAGCACTGCACTATGAGGCAGTCCACAGCCTCTGCAGCACGAGTTCAATCCCTGGCCAGCCAGGGAGAAACCTACATGGCGCAGCAGACCTTTCCTGTCTCGCCCGCTGCTCCCCTCAGCAGTGTATTTCGGTCTGTCTGCCTGTTCTGTTCCCTGCTCTGTCTCTGGTGAATCCTCTCACCCCATGCTTCTCTGGTCTGTACCCCAGCTCTTGTATGCATAAGTAGATAAATCTTAGGAAAAAAAAAAAACTCCTTAAGTATACTACAGTATTGATCACTTCCTCAACACCAATGCTCCCCAATTATACCTCAGAACTCTTTCCTCAGCTTCATATCCACATGACCCAAACAAGTCCCATAATATCAGATCTCTCATTCCCTATTCGGTTGCATAGAGCCAAGGAGACCTATTTCTCTCTCTGCTCCATACACAACGCATCTCCAGGTCTGTAAAGCTTATTTTCTAAGTTACTCTTGAATTCATTCTTCTCTCTCCAGCACCAATGCTAATACCATAGTCCAAGGTACGCACCCAAAACATCACAATCTTTAGACTAGATTCTCAGAGTAGCCAGTTCTACATACCTACATGTGATTTGTTTCCTCCAATATGTTCTTCACAATGCAACCAGCATAATCTTTTTTTAATTATGTTTATTGAGATAATAGTGGCTTACAACACTATGTTGCAGGGGTATAGGTTCGTGCCTCTTCAAATGTATGTTGTCCCACAATTCCCACCAGCAAAGCCCCAATAATCCTCCTAATCCATTGAGCTGCTTCCCCCCTTTAATCCTATCCCCCCATTCTGGTAGCCTCAGTGTTACAGCCCAGTTTCAAGGGTTTGTTTTGGTTTGATTTTGTCTGTTGCTCCAGCAAAATTTTTTTAAACATAAATCATAAGATGAAACATCTTAAACTCTCCAAAGTTTTTGCATTGATCTGGAAACAAAAACAAATTCCTCAACATTGTAACTAGAATTTCTTTAGAGTACAAAATCTTCTAACTGCCCAGTGTCTATTGTACTACCACTCACCCTCCTCCATGAGCTCCAGCCACACTGTTTCCTTCCAGTTCCTTTCATACACCATGTGCCTACTGCCCCAGGTGTCATTTACTCTCTCCTGCCATCCACCTTGTTAGACTGTTGTTTATTCCTCACCTCTCAAACTAAAGTCTGCCTTGTCAGGTAAGGCTTTCCTTACTCTCAGACTATGATCTCATAATACCATGTACTCCTTCTTTTGGCATTTATCACACTTGTAATTTTCTGTTTATTAGAATGATTAGTTGAGTAATGTCATTCTCCCACTCTAGACTGTAGGGCAGACTGTAATTGTTTTGTCATGTATTCTATCCTCAGCACCTGGCACTGCCAGACGCTCAATAAATACTTGTAGAATAAATGAGTGGATAAACAAGAAGAATTATCTGAGAATATATTAATGCAAACTGTATAATAAATAACATACAGTCTGCTAACAAATTATATGGACACATAAAGAGGTGTGCACTCACATAAACTACCAATCAAACAACAGCATGACTCCAGGCTGCTTCTGGCATAATTGCTGATTTCTCCTCATTGGAGAGTTAGTGAAATCCATAGACGGGTAGGTTTGGGAAGATACTTGTATCTAGAACCTTCTTGTCTTTTATTGTCTGCCCATAAGTCATCTACTAACCCAGTTCCTGTCCCTCAATTGTCCGTATGCCAGGCTGTTTTCACCAGGCTGCTCACCTTTTTGTACCAGTCACTTGTACTAATCATAGAGATGAAAGAAACACTTCAGTGTGGTGTCTGGTCCTTCATGATCCAGCAACCCCCTCCTTAGCACCTGTCTCTCTCCAATCACTCTTCCACCTCAAAGAGCACTCTGGCCCACATGTCTGCTCTAAGTTCTCCAAACAAGCCTTATTTGCTCTCTTCCACAGGTCATTGTCTCTGCCCAGGACTCTCTTTCCAACGCCCTCTCCATTCTTCCATGGTGCCACCTCCTTGATACAAACTTTGCTGTCTTGACAAGGCTTGATTGGTGCTTGTCCTAATGGCTCCCGAACAAACTGTGCTTCCATGATCACGTGGCCCATGTGAGGCTGCATGGCCTGTGGACTTTCAGGTCTTCCTCACCAGTCTATGAATGCAGTGGCTATGACTTTCACAGTCGCATTCTCAGACCTTGGCATAATGTTGGAAACTAGTAGGTAATTAGTAATCCTTGCTGAGGAGCTACAGCGAAGCTTCAGATTCTACTAATGCAGCAACTGGGAGTTCAGGCCATACCACAGTTCTGCAGCTCAAACTACTTCTTGTTCTATTTGCTTCTACACACATTCAGTACCACTGCAGAACCTCTAAGGGGCATATCTTCTCTGATGCTAATTTTGCAAAAATGCCTACTATAAATTGTTGCCTTCAGTGCATTACTGAATTCAAAGCACTTTATGGATTTCTCCAGGTTTTGATTAGAGGAAAATAATTTTGCCAAGGGCCTCCCCGGTGGCGCAGTGGTTGAGCACTGGGTTGCAAGGCTGCCCGCAGCCTCTACAGTGCTGGTTCGATCCCCGGCCACCGGGTGAGGGTCCCACATGGCTCGCAGACCTCTCCTGACACCCGTTGCTCCCCTCAGCAGTGCACTTCGTCAGCCTGCCTGTTCTGCTCTCTGCTCTGGCTCTGGTGAATTCTCTCACCCTCCCACGCTTCTGACTGTACCCCAGTGCTTGTATAAATAAATAAATAAATCTTTAAAAAAAAAAAAGAAAAGAATTTTGCCAAAATCAGTATAATTTAAAATAATTCTCTCCCCACCAATCCAAAGAACTGTGCTTTTCTATAATCCTTTCAAATGCCTATTACATGAAACACCATCATCTAAGATGTTTACTGGTATTGGGGAGGGAGGGGGAAAATATGTCAATGTAAAATATTTGTTTCCAAAATTAATAGTTACAAAGTTACTAACATTTATTAATTAATAAAGTTAGGTAAGTATGTTTACTGCAGGACTTCTCAGAGTCTTTAACAAATTACTCTATGTTGGGAATTCCCAAGAAGAGGTTATGTTTCAGTCATTTCCCAAGCTAATATACCATAGACTTCCAACTCTTCCATCTATTTGTGAAGTGCTTTGGGTGGCTAGTCTTCTTTAGAACTCAGAATGGGAAACGCTGTTTTGTGAATAGTTTCTATATTTTATAATAAATATACCCCCAGCTTGTTAAAAACTCTGATTCCTACCTTACATGGAGTAACATTGTTCATCAATACTATGTCCATTCATATACAATGAACATTAATGGTACCAGCTTTGTGCAAGACTATAAACAGCTGACAAAGTACTCTTTAGCACAGTTCTGCCTCTGTGAGATCTTTTCCACCAGACAGAATAAGC